CTTTGTCTGATCATTACTTATAGATTTAATAAGCTTTGCATTATCATTATTTAATTTTTGTATTGATTTATTTTGCTAAGTTGTCAAAGCTTCTACCATCTCCTTTTGATTGTTCGCAAGGGTCTCGACAGTTTTTGCATTTGTATAATTCGCATACCTTGATATAGCAGTATTGGAAGAAGCGACCACACCAGAATACCCACGCCCCCAACTACCACCAGGGGCAGCAATTTCAGAGTTTTTTAACTGTTGCTTCTTCTTTTTAGGAGGAAATTTATTAGACATTGCTTTTTTTAAAAAAATTAAATTATATCTTTCTTTAATATATTATATTTTTTTTTAAAAATTTATTTATCATAACAATAACACATACATATATTTGTTTTTTTTTAAAAAATATAGATGGTTGAAGATTTTTTAGCTGTGTTAAAAAATACAACAAAAAATATCGGCGATTCCTGAAAGGAATCGCCCATCGGCACAATTTGATTAAATAGCTATTCATGTATCAAATGACGAAATGATTTCACCACGTGCTTTGCGAGTTCTTGATCTTTTTTTTGTTACAGCCTTTTTTCTTTTGTTTCTTGTTACACGAGGTTGCTTGGTGTTTGCGCCTTTAGGCTTATGCACATTCACATAACGAGGTGTGGTACTGGTACCATAAAACTTTTGAAGATAGATACCGCCAGGATAACGCTTGGTAAGTTGTCCGTTTCTGTTCAAAATAGGCACATACCGACCAACTCTAAAATTCCAAGTATACAACTTGTCCAAACGAGATCCAATCATCACAGTAGGTTCAACTTCAACAATTTCAGCCGCATTAATCAAAAAAACAAACAATATGTAAAACATAAACAACAACTTCATTTTTTTTTACTTTTAAAAATACACTAGATAAAAGAAATTTATATTTATTTATTCAACTTTAAACTATATTTATACAACTCAAAGTATATTTATACTAAAACTCTATTTATACTAATAAATAACGATTATGATAATAATCGAAAATTTTTAAACATACATCAACAAGAGCGGATGCCGCTGCCCCATAAAAATTTTCCTTGTATGCACAAAAGATAAAAAAAGATAAACAAAGAAAAAAAAGCATGTTTAAAATCATCTTGTCATTTCTATTCTGAAACGTTTCATATCGATTATCATACTTGTCTTGAAGCTTATCGTAATTTTCTTGAAGTTTATTGTAACGTTCGTTTATTTTTTCATTATCATCATGCAATCGTTTAACCTCTCGCAAAAGCTTACTATTTGATACCAATGCAGCCTCAAGTTGCTCATTACGTTCTTTGATGCGAGACCTAATTAAAAAAATAATTAAATATACATATAATCTTAAAAAATATTAATATAAACTTACATAATAATACAAAAAAAAACGCTTTGAGACAACTCTGAAGAGTTCATTATTAATATTTCAAATTTTATATAAAAATTTAAAATAAAAAATATACTTATCTAAGAATATATATATACTATAAAATAAAATAAAAATGGTTAGCTCATCAAGTAAAAGCATATAGCCGCGGTGAGTCATCACTAAAACTTGGCCTATCAGGGCGTTTCCCGTGCAG